AAAAAAAAAAAAAATATGGTACTTACCTGTAACCATTTACCATTACATCCCTTATCTGTATCCTCTTTAAACTCTCTTAAATGAATATTTCCTTGTTTTCCAATTTAGTATAAATCATTATATACTAATAAGTGTGTCTGAAGAGTTTTAGGCAATTTTGGTGCTCCCAAAGATGCATGGAACCCAAAATCTCAGCCAAGCAATAGAAAATTAACAAGGATAATTCAATCTGAAGATAAAACTTAGTAACAAAAGGCCAAACAAGTTGGTGACATGTCATAACCCCAACAAGCTTCTAAAACACAATCCAAGATTTCCCCAAAATAAACTTGGACTATATATAATCCAACTTCCTCAGTTCCCACAACACCATCTGATATTTACACCTGATTTTTGTTTACCTTTTTTTTTTTTTAATTACTCGTAAATTGACAGTTACCGTGGAACCAATCAGTCTCCAGCCTAGTAAGCGGCAATGCAACAAGAATCTACGAGTTGCAAAGCTACACTTTCAGTTAAGACTTTTTTTTTTTTGTGCCCCAAAAGCTCATCAGTTAGATTTCATTTCAATATCACCATCTCCATCGGCTGTATTCTCAGGGAGGAGGCTGAGTAGAGGCAACGGCAGCAATGAGCTGAGATTGCACAGGATTATCAGACAAGTTAAATTGTCGAATTTATCCTTAGTCACTCCAAATAACTGAGTTAGGCCGGCTCCTATTAGACCCCCAAGCACACTCCCACCATTAGAAATCGACATTAAGGTTGCAAAAAGAGTTGCCTCCATGCCTTCCGGGCATAGCTTTGCTGCTAATACTAATACAGGCATGAATGAAACCTAAAAACAGGCTCGTCGTTAACCAAGCATAACCCAACTAAACAAGTTGCACATAGCAAATAGGAAGGGATAAGACAGTTCATATTACTGAGGTTTCGTGAAAATATATATGAAAAAAGAAGAACTATTATGCAGCAAAATTAGATATAATCCCATGAAATATATTACTACAGCAGACTATACACTTTGAGGATGTATTCAAGGGGAGGTTTGTAATTGTAACTGATATTTATTATATTTATTTATATTTTTGTAACTAAAGTTATTCCTTGGAGATTTTTTTTCGTGGGGATTCTAGTTTTTTTTTTTTTCAGGGTTCTTGCCTTTCTTTTCAGTGTTTCGAGGGATTTTAAACTTGTTTCTGTCTTTTAGAGTTTCCTTTCTCTGGTACTCTTTCAGTTCATCTTTTGTTTTCGGGGGACCATGCCATTCAATCAAACCACAACACCGGTGTGCCACAAGTAACATAATTATCACGAAAAATGCAGAAATACCTGTCCAAGAACTGTTAAGATCAAAGAGTCGCCAACTGCAAACCACTCATCACTTATGCCAAACTTCCGATTCAATCCAGTGACAAGGAAAACCTAAAAGATAAGGGATGCCCACTTCAAAATCAAAATACAAAACGAAAAAAGGTGCAAGTAATCCAAATTGGCCATCAAGAGGCATGGAAACTTACTTGAGTCATCCCAAGAACAGAACCAATAACTGTAGTCACCAGAAACATCTTCCTCAAGCGAACACCTTTCAAGAACCCGTTATAAATCCCAACGCCAACCAGTGATGCAATGGAAGTTACAAGCTTCACGCGTCCCAGAAACTCGGGAGTAAATCTGAGTTCATTTGTACTAGAAATCGAAAATTCTTAGAAGTTGTCATGAAATAGACATGAAAGAATAATTATTTAAGGTATTGATGATACTTAAAAAGAGTAAAATTGAGGTTTGACATAATTAAAGAAAAAAATGAAAAAGAAGAAACAAAGAGATAACATTTTAAGTTAAACAAAAGGATCGGTAAGTGTTATTCAGGGGTTAAATGTAACACTTCTATGTATATGAGATTTTTCAAAAATATTTTGTGCAATGGAAGCCATAAAACTAAGAAAAAAAGGGTTCCTATATCTAGGTCAAACTCAAGGGTACATTTTTTAATTTAATGATGATGTATCAAGTTAGAGATCAACCTACATGAAATAAAACATGGCATGATCAGACTGTGGTGTTGCTTGCCACAGGAAAATAAATAAGGTAGGAAGAAACACATTGGGCTGCTTCACAGCATCCCACAATTGAATTAAGCTATATTTCGAGCATCCCAACAGGCCTGCAGAGTCCGACACAGTACTATGTTTTTTAGCCGAGTCGTGGAGTGGTTGCTCTTTCACAAGGACTGCAACAGCAGATGTTATCAACGGAAGCAAAGCCGTTAATCCAAAGACAAACCTGCAAGTACTTAAAAGTTCAGGAATCTCGTGCTTGCAAAAGCTTCTGCTTTCGTATACATTTAAAAGAAGGCGTTCAATTTAAGCCTTATACAAATGTTGTAAAGTACTTTGACAGACATAGTGATTAAATCAAGAGAAATATCAGAATCTAGAACACTATTAGCCTTACTAGAAGAGTCTATTACGCAAAGGTCTGGTTTATAAGGTTTTGAATACGTATGCAAGTTTATACAACTGTTTCCAATCTGCATATTCCAAGTTTCAATCTTTTCTCTGGAAAATTAAATTATATCAAGGTTTGAAGTTTATAATGAATTCCAGTTTCAAATGATGGAAACTGGAATTTTGTACAACTAACAAACAACTCCATTACAATCCCCCAAATTACAGAATTTACAATATGCTACATGAAATATGTATCTATGCCAAATATAGATATTTGGAGTTTCAAACCATTCTGTCAAATACAGCATTTACAGAATTTGACATTTCCACACAAAAATCCAAAAAACTAACAGAACACATTTCTCCCATCTTCAATTTCCCAATTAGAAACTGGAAAATAGTATGGAAATAACTCCATACATTAACTATGCTTGAGTTCCCCAGCGAAAAGCTTATAATCACTTTGTCTTAAGTTTATGGAAACACTCGAGTCAAGATAGCAGGAAAAAAAAAAATGCAGACAATTTCGTTTACCTCACACCATAAGCACCAACCAAAGAGCCACTGAAGTAGGAGCTTACAATGCCACCAAAAGCAGAAGAACCCCAGCATAAAGACTGAAGAGAACCAGACACGCTTTGTGATTCACCACGGGCCCTCTCCACAACCATAGAGTCGACAACCTGCACCCTTTATCTCAATAGACTAGCTCGAAGTTGCAATAATAAACTAACAAATAAAGATCAACTAGGCTTTACTTGACTGTTTATCCTAATGCACTTGTTACAGATTTTTGAAAGCAGACTTAAGCTGATTTTTTAGGAAATGTCAGTTCAATGAGATTCTTGTTTGCAGGACACTGAAATAAGTTGCAAAAATATTTGGAAATAAATGAATTATGAACATGCAGGCAAGTTCAAACTGAAAGTACTGAGAGAGAAAAATTGAGGTAAAATCAGACCCTACTCGCAGAGAGTATATCTTCAGGTTCTGAGAAAAGTAATAATAAACATAATTGAATGAACTAATACAAAGTGAATCAAATAAACCATGTTGTTGACAATATCATTTCAGATGTCAACCACCCAAATTTAATCAACATTGCTTTTCAATGGAGATGAGAAATTTCTTGACAATATCATATATTAATATTATTGACTCATCAAGAAACGTATTCATCTGGGAGATCAGAAAGAAAATCTGCCGATAAGTTCATAAACTGCAGTAGTAAGTACTTACTACATCTGAAAATGCTACAGAAAGGGATCCTAGAAGTATGCACAAGGCAACACTGTACTTGCTATAGACAATGGTGGCCATCATAGTCCACGAGAAAGCTCCCAAGACTCCAGACAATACCAAATAAGACCTCCTTCGATAGCCACATAGTGGGAACGAATCACTGATTTAACATTCATTGTTAGTTACAGAAAATGTTATCCTATTAAAGATAAAGTGTGAGTTTGCAACAAAATAGTCAAATGTACAGTTTGGGATATTCTACACCTAAAAATAAATAAATAAACAAATAAAATAAAAGAGAAACCAAAATATAAAGAGTAGTTCATGTGCACCTGATGAATCCATACAAGGGTTTGACAAGCCAAGGTAAAGAAGATACACCAGATATCACAGCCGTCTACTCAACCACAAAGAATCGTAAGTCGAGTGTTTTGCCCAGGAAACAAAACAAAATAAAAGAAATGAAATAAAGAAAACATAAAGCAAATCCAACTTTCTTGAAAAGTTATGTTTAAGCTAGCTTTTGGGGATAAGTTCTACCTAGGCCCATTTATCACCAGTTAAAACTCATAATTTAAAATACATAACATTCTCATATACTTCAATTATTAGTCTGCAGTATTTTTCAAGATATGAGCCACCCAACTGAATATAGAGTGAATAATGGTCTGATGAAGGGATCAAAAGACAATGTGAATGTAACAGGTACCAGAAGGGCATCCTCAGTCACTGAGAGTACATTTGGCTGTAAACATAGAATAAAGCACATGGACATAACCTTATCCGTCTTCAACTAAAAACAGGGTTATTTAAACAATATTGTACAACATGATATTAACAAAATAAATTGTTACCACATAAAAACGTAAATTCAGTTTCTATTTTCATGTTCAACTGATAAGTTAAAACTAGGTCTATGTTCTTTATATGGTATAAAACCGATAATGTCTCCAGACATTGTGTAATTCATTCATTTACTGTCGATACCTCTGCAGGATCAAGATGCAGGTCATCTTTCAAGTAGAAATTAACCGCAAGCCTGGAAAGTCCCAAAACGCCCTGAACAAAATACACCATGGCTACAGCAATTGTATCTGGAGTTAGTTCCACACCAAAGCAGCTGATAGAAGTCATAGAATATCTTCTCTTCCGAGATGCAGTCTTATTGGATGAGGCAGCATCTTCATCTGCTTTCTCTGCCGGATTATAACAAACAACAGCGCATGAGAGAGAGAGAGAGAGAGAGGGAGAATATGTTCATCCACTTCCTTCAAAATGCAAGCAAAAGTACATCCAGCACTGAATAATGGAAAGATAAAGGGATAAAATGACAACAATTATTTATTTCCAAGAGTAAAGTAATTTTCTTCAGTATTCTTCACTGTGTGGAGTAATGGCCATGAGATTTTCACAAAATCTTTGTTTTAATTTCATTTCAGAACCTCAACATGGCAGATTCAAAGTAATAAATCTCTGCTAATTGTTGCATTAAACATTCATCCATCAATCTATGCTAAAACTTATCAAATCAAAGATGGGTGATAAAGAAGAGCTGAAATTTAACAAGTTGATAATTATTAGCCAATAGAACCAATAAAATTACACACACGGCAAAATTAAAAATACCAAGTATATACAGGTACGTCCCTTACACATCAATTCATCATCAAATTTTCATCTCTTTCACCTCAGTCGGAACAAGGAAAATCCACAAATTTTGAAGGAAAAAAAAAGGGGGAATGAAGTAGACTTACGACTGTTGGAGGACAATAAAGGAACGGAGTCGGAATCGCGTCGGGTGGAGGACGGTGGGATTGAAACGGGGATTGACATATTGGAATTCGGCGGAGGTGGCCGTCTGAATCTACGGCGGGTGGCGGACCGCCGGTGGTTATTAACGGAGATAAGAAATAAAATCGAACATAGGATAGTGGCGCATCAAGGTGTCCCAATTGTATCACTATACAACCTTCAAGATTATTTTGCCTCACCTTTCCTATATACCCCAATTTTATGAGCCCATATAGTACTTAGTGTCAAATCAAACCCATCAAACCTTCGTGATAGTGGCGCATCAAGGTGTCCCACGACTCGTGGCCAACACGAAGACAAGTCCACCTCACGAGCATCTCAATGCTTGGTAGAGATCACAGCTTTCAGCACAAGGCCACCCCACGACTCATGGTCAGTGACCGAGCACCGTAGCATCGTCATGTCATCTACCTTTGATGGAAGGCATGGATTAATAGGTCCAACCTATTTTTATCCATTATAATTTGATATGGAATTAATCGAATTAAATTCCTTGGAAGTTTTGAAAACTTAGGGTTTTATTCCAAGACCTCATCAACTTAAATTACTAAGTGGGTTTATTTAATGCAACATTCATCATATGATGCGCAAGCAAAAAGCATTAAATAAATCTAACATGCATCCTATGCAAAAAGCGATGGGATGATCATGGCCAAACCTATGCGACCCATTCGAGCCAAAAATGGGTCAAGGCCAATCTAAGGGATAAAATAAATAAAACTACTTCTATTACATTTTATTTGATTTA